GCTTGCACGCGCTCCACTAGGTTCTCGATCCTGGACTCAAGATTGCTCTTACGGGCTGCTTGGGATGCCAAAAGAGTGAGGACTCGGTCGAGCTTGGCGTTATATTCTGAAAAATCCTCGAGGGACTCACATGACTGCTCAACAGGCCTGGACTCCCACTGCTGCTCGTAAGGATACGACCAAATCTGGCCGTTGTCCCAAGAATCGTAGAATGGAGGTGGCTGGTTTAATTGGGCACATCGGGTTGTTGTCTCTTTTTCCTGAGCTAACCAGGATATTGTGAAATCATAGATACGGTCGAGCTTCTCGTTGAACGCATGGGACTCATAATATTGCTCGACCGGGAGGGGGTCCCAGTACTGCTCGGAAGAGTAGGGATAAGATTGAACGTGGTACCCGGTATGGTAGCTTGGCTCGTGGACCCAAGATTGGGTGTGCAAATAGGGGAGCACACGGTTGTAACTCATACTACCTGCACACCAAAACAGAACAACCACGCGTAGCCACGAAAAGACAAGAAAAAGAAAACAGAAACAAGAAAGACAAAAAGAAAAACAAATATGCACAAAAGAGAGAACAAAAATACGAAAATCAAGAAAATAAGAGAAACACAGAAAATAAAATCAATACCAAGACCAAATGTCCTACTTGCCTTCCCCGGCAACGGCGCCAAATTTGTTGTGTACAAATTATTCTTTTTACCGAGTACTGAATCTAAAGATTCGTTCCCCAGGTCGATCTCACGAGTAAGGCTGTTCGAAATTTAGTTATGATATCGATAACACATAAAAAGAAAACAAACCTAAACACTCTAATCGAATAAGGATGGATGAATAATTATCAACTAAGAAATAATAAAAAGCAATAACCTACCTAAGAAGATAAACGAAACAATGAAAAAGAAGCTAGGGAATCGGGGATAATTAATTCAAGTTCTAGCAAAACCGGGCAATCAATTGTTCGGTTCAAGATTGACACTCTCGCTTAGACATCTAGCGGTTCGCTCCCAATAACTCTTCGTAACAAGGGATTGAACATGGACGAACAAGTTCGAGCATACGACACAAGCCAATTATCCCAATCCCAATAACTTTTCGTAACAAGAGACGGGTCATTGACAAGTGCGTATTTCAATCTAAAACACGTAGATTAGTCAATTACGACACCTTCTACCTCATGTGAGCCCAAGTCTACGACTTCTCCCCTTTCGGTTCAAAAAGTCAATAATTCAATTAGAAGGGTATTAACCGACTAATCACATAGAATCAAAAAAACTCTTACTCAACTAATCAACATTCAATTGTTACCAATTGCAAGATCGAAGTGTCACTCTTCGATTATATCAATCAATCAAGCAAGAATATATCAATTCCTAATTAAAACAACTCACATAAGTATGAACGAATCGAAGCCCGACAAGTACAATTCAAACAAAACAATCATCCCCTATCCCTAGCAATCGGATTTAGCTACGAATATTAAATTCAACAATCATGATCAATCCTCTCAAATAATCATTATTCATGAATCAAATAAGAGAAATGAATACTTACAATCAATCCAAGTTCCAGTTGAATTCAAAATACAAGCTAAACCCTTGATAATAATGAAAAGAAGAAGAAAAATGGAGAAAAGAAAAGAAAAGAGAAGAGAAGAAGAATATGAAGGGGAGTGAAGGGGGGAGGAGATTTTTGGACCTAGGGTTCCTCCCCCTTCAAGCTGGAAGTGAAAAGAATGGAGAAAAAACGAGTTTTGGGGCCTTTTATACTATTCTGGGACTTGCAGGGGGTCATAGCGCCGCTACGACCATAGCGGCGCTTTGGGATGAAATGCTCGAGCCTCTGTCCATCGCTTTGCTATGTAACGCCGCTATCTGGGGCCATAGCGGCGCTATGGCCTGGGCAGCTTTGCACGATTTCACTGTTTGGGCTCGTTCGGGTTCGTTTGGACTCGGAATTCGATTCCGCTTTTTCCTGTGTGTTGCCAACGAACTCCTCTATTTAATTATGCTTGCACAATAAGCTTTTGCCCAAAATTATGTCCTCTTGAAGCTTCAGACCTACACACCATAAACAAAGAAAAACGAAAAAACACACAGAAACACAAGAAAAAAACTGAAATAGATGAAAACACGCAATAAACTACAAAAACGAATAGAACCCAAAGAAAAGACTCAATATGGGGGAAAAAGAAAGACAAAAAGACAACGAAAAATGCAACAAAAATGGGACAAACAGCAGAGTGATTGATTTTAGGGATTTATGGATCGATTTTGTGTCAAAGTCTTCCATTGGCACGGGTTTTTATGCCATCCACGTAGCAAGTTTACAATTTACACGTATTTAAGGTATATCCATGCACAAAGCCGAAAATTCCACGTCAATGTAAGCTACCGGTGATGAGTATCCTCCTGGATCTGGAGTGAACCGATAAATATAAGCTCCGATCTGTTCGAACCACCTTCAAATCAACCAGTTTTTTAAGGTCCAATCAGTTCGAATTGCAATAAGTTAATTGAGGTCGAGATTATATTGCAATTACTCTAAGATTGGGATAAAATTTCCGAACGCAAAAAGGTCAAGGTTTATTTAGCAATTAACCCTAGAAAATAAATATTAGTAGTGTTAGTACCTAGGTCGTCATCGATAGGTTTATGCACCAACTTAACCCCGCGTGAAAACGAAGGCTCACGTCGCTAGCAAGCTTCATCGTGTCCAAGGGCACCTGGTCCTACCGGGGGCTAGAGGGGGGTTGGCTATTTTGCCCAAGAGGTCAAAAACTAGCACAGGAGAAAACGCTAGCTCGTCTGGAGCAGGTTAAACATAGAAAAAAATATCTTTCAAGTGGAGATGTGGAACTGGAGGTCTTTCAGGAACGCAGCTCTGCTATGAGAAGTAAGGTAATGTGACCCGTCTATATTTTCATGTCGTAATAGTAGAAGAGGAGGTCGAGGTCGAGGGTCCCCAGTCGTGTGATTAAGGATACTGAAGTAACTCATCAAACAAATTGCGTTGGGGGATAAGTGATTAATGAGAATGCTATATAACGCTAAGGTGCATGAGGTCAACTTGAATAGGGAATTGCAGACAACTGTTGACCTGGTGCTGGAAGAATGTATGACAGTCGTAGGGAGGAAGGTCGAAGAAGATGGTTGATTCAGGAATCACAAACTCCCAAGTGCGGGGGAGCTCACAGAAGACTCAAATGTGGTGAGCTACACAGAGGTCGCACAGACGAAAAGGTTCAGTCTACCTGACACCCCAATCTCAAGTAGCTCGACCATATAAGGCAGGTCAGCCATGGTTAGTCGTATGGGTGAATAGTGGGAGCTGTGGGATTCTCAAACTCGTTACAAGTTGCTGGTCATATATTGATAAGATTTTTAAGCTCTTGCTAGTTGATTTTCCTTGAGGCTAGACTACCAGCTCGAGTTGATGAGCTTCGACTTAAGATTCGAATGGGAGGTCGAGTATTGAGACGAATGAGGAAAAATCATCGAAAAGTTCATTTTGGTTTATGCTATGGTCAGATTGTGGTAAAGAAGCAAAAACAAACAAACAAAAAGTGAAGCTCGCACGTGTGTCGAAGACGAACCGACGAGGAGAGGTCACAACATAGTAGCTTTAATGGAGGGATTAAGAAGAAATACCCATGATCATATTGAATATAGAGCTTGGATCGCTTGGTTTGAATCGTAATGGTGGTAAGCACGCTGGAAATATGAAAGTGTGTAGATTGCTTAAGTTTGCAATGGGTGGGAAAATAAGAAAGGTGGAGGAAGGAGCCTATTTATAATAGCGGAGTCGACTATGTCCTAGGTGCATACCGTTTGATCAGAAGTAATCGTTCGCAAATCTACGATTCATCACGCTTCGGTACAGGAAGCGACATATGTAATCAAGTGTGCATTCTGAAACATCACATCAATCATGTGTGCATTAATTATTCGGTGGCGTGTTCTCGGTCTCGTGTTTAATGCCCAATCGACCTACTAAAAGCATACTTATGACTACTCGTGTTTGAGCTCCAGTGCTCATAAATTGGGAGATTAGTTGATATAGCATAGAGCTCAGTCCTGGACTGGAGCTTGATTCTAGACCATAGCTCCCTCAGCTCGAGTAGGTCAAGTTAATTGACATGTGACATGCGTAACCTTAGATATAGAGTTATACACGAGGAATATGAATAGACTTGGACAAGTTAAAGAGTTCTTGGGTATCAAGATATAGATAGAGTTCCTAGGCATCAAGGTATTCATGGGCAACAAGATAATTATTCTCATATATGAGGATGAGGCATGACTAGAGGTTCTTCTTCTTCCTTCTATGATCTAATTAATACTATCACACATTTTTTCATATTCAGAATACTAACTTGATCGTCGGAGGGTCTACGTCGAAATCCTCCTAACACTTTTTCAGGTAGAGTAAATTATAATTTTAGTCCTGTATGTTTTACTACTTTAATTTTTTCGTCCTCTTCTAATTGTGTTTTTTTATTTTCGTCCCATATATTTTAAAAAAGGTTACACAAAGGTCTTTCTCATACATAAGGGACGAAATTGGAACACGTTTTTGCAAAACATAAATTACCTTTTTGTTGCGAAAAGGATTTTTTTTTTTTTAACTATTTTTCACACATATGGGACGAAAATAAAAAACACAATTTGAAAGGACGAAAAAGTTAAATTATTGAAACATACAGGACGAAAATTGTAATTTACTCTTTCAGGTATTCCGACGAGAAGGTCAAGAACGATTCGGAGATCCAAAGAGTTATTTGGTGGATCACTATTAGTAATTATTTACAATCCGAACATTGATTGGAGTACACAAGGTCAACTTGTTTAAAATTTCCTTCAATATTATTATGCAATTTGCTCGTTCTACTACCTGCCAAACCCGATCCAAAGGCAAACAAACAAACAAAGCAATATCTTATTCCATAAAACCTATTTCAATTGGCTTTTAGTACAACACGACGGTAATTTGATGAGACTTTTAAAGGATTGCACAACCACGGAGTTTGTCCCTCTTGAAGCTTCTCCGAGTACGAGAGGCGTTCCCATTGGTTGTTTTCTTGTGTTCTCGTCCGCTACCTTCATTCCTTTGTTTTTGCCTTCTGCATTATTTAGCAGCTCGTTAAATATAATTTTTTTTTATCCAATCCTATATATGGCCCTGGTGAATACTTTTCATGATTGAATATAGATTTTGTTGATCCAAAGTGAATAAATAAATTATATGGAGATTATATCAATAATTAGTTCCATAAATGTTGTATTATTTGAAAATATTCATCGGCAATTAAGCAATTATCACATTCAAGAAATCTTATGTTTATTATATATTCAGTTTGCATAACATCCCTCTCTATATATTAATTCAAAACATGGTGAGCCTAGGTGGCAGATTCTCACGCTTCGGATGCTGACTTGGCGAAAATCTATGCTTCGTGATTTTGTTTTTATATTATTTTTTCTCTAGAGTTAGGTTTGGTATTAGACATAAATTATTTTACACATATATTCATTAACTCAACACTCATGTTGTATATGGATATTAATACTAGTTTGATTTAAATGTGAAAGCAACTAGAGCAAGTAAAATTGATGATTTTTACAAGAGTGTATCTTTCAAAAGGTGGCCACCATTGTATTTGTATATATATTCAAAGTTGTGAGGGAACCAGATGCCCATAACTTGATACCCTTTAAGAGACATGACAATAGAATCTTGGCTACTACGCTCATTGGTTTCAAGAGCACAAAAGTTTGATGCAACGATACAATTATTCTGATTCTGTGGTTGTGATAATTTTTTATTTTTTATTTTTAATTTAAAATCAATCACAAGTAGTATTTGTTTTTAAAAGTTATACGAGTTTGCATCCGAAAATACGCATTCGGATGAAGTTATAAATATTTGATTAGATAATAATAACTCGTAAAATTTAATATATTATAGAATATAGATTTAAATATTCTACATATGAATAAAATTATTCATTTCAATTTTATATAATATATTATTTAATAATAATGCAAATAACATTTAATATTGGTGAAATAAAAAATATATTAAATACAAATAAATATTATATTAATAACATTAAATACAAAAATGTATTAAATACATAATTGATGTATATATAATTTCTAAACGAATCGAGTAGGATATATTTTATCATCTTAAACGAATCGAACGCAAACCACTGATTCTAGATAAACCAAATGCCATTACAACTATTCGAATATTTTCACTAATCCAAATCGAAAAATTAAGTATTCGATTCAATTCAATTCATTTACGACCCTAAAAGGTCAGAAGAAAAACAGGCTTCGTGGAACATTAAAAGGGTTAGCCCTTCTCCTCATCATCGGTATCTGGCACCACGTTGAACAATTTCTACAGATAGATGCGCAATACTAACACATTCTCAAAAAGGGTCGGATCCAAATATAAGTTTGTTCTGTAATCAAATTGATCTGATAAAAGAATTTCCACCAACACATTAGTCAATGTATATAAATCTGGCTCCAAAGAAAGAAGCCAAAACCAAGGCTTTGGTCATCCTAATCAAAGAAGCCTCAATAGAGAGGGTTCATGCAACATATTGGAAGAGAAAGAGAAAGTCCCAACTTCAAACTAGCACCTTTGTCCACAATGTTGGAAGTTTTCATTATAAGACAGGCAAGTGCAGTTGCCAAAAACCTAAACCAACGGAATATGTTTAGCTAACGCGTGTATCCAAAAGATCGGGAAACAAGCCTTAATGTTGGGGGGTGCCTAAATGGTGAACCCGCGAGAAATGGAATGAAGCCGAGTCGAAAAATTGGAATAACAAAAATCGCCACCAGTAAAAGATATTTTCCAAATGTTCTTGCGTTGAAACACTGAACGAAACAACTCAATATTACAAAGCACGGGCACAAAACAACAAGCATATAGTCAAGAACAGCAAATGCAAAACAGAACACAACTAATAACAAAAACAACATACATACTTCCTAACAGAAAAACAGAAATCCAAATCAAACTTAATCAGCCACCGTTTCAATTTTTTTCCTTCAATCTTAAATAGTTCTTGTTGTAAAGGAAAAAAAGAAAGTATTTAGTTCAGGGGATAAGAAAAAAAGGTCAGATCTCACTTGGCCATCATGACCTTGACGAACTCCTCATAGTTGATCTGCCCGTCCCCATCCACATCAGCCTCGCGGATCATCTCATCAACCTCCTCGTCAGTCAGCTTCTCCCCTAGATTTGTCATCACATGCCTAAGCTCAGCTGCTGAGATGAACCCATTCTGATCCTTGTCAAAAACCCGGAAAGCCTCCTTGAGCTCCTCCTCCGAGTCAGTGTCCTTCATCTTGCGAGCCATCAAGTTGAGGAACTCAGGGAAATCTATGGTCCCGTTTCCATCGGCATCGACCTCGTTGATCATGTCCTGGAGCTCGGCCTCAGTGGGGTTCTGCCCCAGGGAACGCATCACGGTCCCCAGCTCCTTGGTCGTGATGCAACCTGTTTATATCATTTCAACGACAAATCAGATAATTTAGATTTATAATGATAACATTTGACAAGCTTCTACAAGATTAACTTTAACGAATTAACATGTGGGCAGCAATGACTAAAAGAAAATATCCAGTGCCCTAAACATAAATATAAAGATATTTTAGCATAACTCATGAATGGGAATTCATTAAACGGAACACATCACCCAAATGAAGTCTAGCTCGTAAATGCCTATGGACTCGAAGCAACATGAATAGAGTTTAGGAAGCAGCCAGATGATACTTGAGAGTACCCCCAAAGTTTAAAGTATCAAAAACAACATTTCAAGTTGGAGATGGATCTTGTGCTAGAGTTCAATATCCCTGTTGCAATCTGAATACATACCAAAGCATTTCAATGTAACTAAATAGATGTCCCTTGACTCAGGAAAATGGTAAATAACAATTAAAATGGACAAGAAAATACATTTTCAGTAATAAACACCAAATTACCATATCCACCCACATAAATGCAGTGGATAACCCTCTGAGAATACTACCAAATCAAGCAAGTATAAGTACAGCTAACAATCTCATGTTAAATTCAAAACATTGAACCATACAACCAAGCCTGCCAAATGATTGATTGATGCAACATTAGGAAAGTTTACCACACAAAAAACCAACAATCAAACGTCCAAATCATCCATGAGAATTCGAACTAAAAAACAACTTTATTCATTAAACAAATCACATAAAATCACATCACCACCACCGATGACAGCAACAAACGGCAAAAATCAACCATTACAGGCAGCAACAGACCATCTCAACATTTCTCAAGCAGAATCAACGCAGAACAAACATAACATTGACAAAAGGGTCTACAAAAAAACATGAGAAGCACTTCAATAGACCAACAGACATCACGAAATCAACAGATCTGAGCAAAAAAAAAAAAAAAACAGATCAAAACACAAAACAGCACCAACACAGAAAGCATGTGAATTAAATTAGGCTCGGACCATCGCCGTCCTTGTCGAATAGAGAGAACGCTTCCTTGAATTCGGAGATCTGATCGTCGGTTAGCTGATCCGCCATTGTTTTTTCCTCCTCTCAGGCAAATGCTCAAAAAAAAAAATATCTATGTGCGAAGAATGGTGTGCGAGTGGTCAACGTAGAAAATGAAGGAAAAGTGTGGGGTTATTATAGAAAATCGGAATGGGGTTGCTGGTCTTTAATTTTTGTTTTTCTTTTCTCATTTTTTCTTTTACTTCTTATTCTTTTTTTCTCAAACTTTTTTTTTTCTCAACTTTGAATAAAGTATAAATTCTTTATGTTGCTTTCCTTGATTCTTTATTCTCCTTTTTTTTATTTGTTCTTTCAAACGATAGATTCTATATCACAACTAAAAGAACCGAACAAAAAGTCCGAAAATCTTCCAAACATGTACAAAGACTACCATGAGAGACACACTATAAAAGTGGTCTAGGGACACAACATAAACACCACGGCTAAGGTGGGGATGCAACCTCAGAGACCTCGCCCGAGAACAAATAACCAATAAACTTAACTAACTACAACCAACCAAAAAAGAGAAGAACAGACCGGCTACCAAACAATACAATAAAAGGAACTAACAAAACTAGACTATTTAGACTTCACTCCCACAACTTCCTGCCATTCTCTCCATGTTCCCCTAGCTATTAATTACTTCCTTTGGTATTCACACTTTCTCAAATAGCTACAAGTTTCAAGACAGCCAAAGCCACCATAATATATATTGATAGTTGAATCATGTCTTCACCCACCTCGGAGTTATCAACTAAGCACACCTGATTCCACCATAGCCTAAAGGACGGATTACCTTCTTATTCCCCTGCCCAAGACACTAGCTTCCAAACTTTCTTAGCTCTCCTACAATTACTAAGCAGATGCTTCACTGTCTCCACTTCCTCCCCACACATTATGCATGTAGAATCTACCTCCATTCCTCTCTGTCTCACATTCTGACCAACTAGCAAAACATTATTATAACACTTCCATAAGAAGTGTTTAATCTTACCTTTCACTTGAAGCTTCCATGTTCTGCATTTGATTTTAGACTCCAACCCTGCATTTCTGCTACTTTCTGTTGCATCAATTTTAAAAATTTTGCTCTTCATTAAATGAATATAAGAATTTGCCATAGAGAACTGCCCTTTTTCATGAAGGGCCCATTTCCAGGTATCAGGTTTATGAGGATTCATAGGTTTGATCTCCTAAATTGCAAGCCTATCTCTTTCAGAAAATAGTTCCCTAAGCAAACTCTCGTTCCAATCATTTCCAGACTCATTGAGCAATTCACTAACCCAGATAACAACATTATTATTAGTAGAAACATGTATTAGGCAACTGTGATTCAAATTGGGCACCCATCTGTAATAAAGAATTCTGGTTTGTTTACCATCATTAATTTCCCTTACCACACCTTTTGCGAACAATGGAATCATGTCTACCCAACTATTTCACATCCAAGATCCAGCCTGACTTCTTTTAACTTTCAAAATAGAGGAAGAAGGGAATTACCTGCTTTTGAGCACCTTACTAACCAGAAGATCAGGCTTTGTAGTTACTCTTCATAGCTGTTTAAGCAAAAGGGCTTCATTGAACAGCTTATAGTCTTGGAAACCCAATCCTCCAGTGTCTTTTGGAATAGTAATACTATTCCATTTCTTCCAGTGCAAGCTTCTCTCCTGACCTTACCTTTACTCCACCAAAAGAAAGTTGTAACTCTGCTAAGTTCATCACAGGTACCCACAGGAAGCTTAAAACAAGACAGAGAATACACTAGTAGTGCATTAATGACAACTTTTAAAAGAACCTCTTTACCTACAGATGAGAGATACCTGCTTTTCCAGTTGGACAACCTGGATTTTACTGCTTGTACCACATACTCAAATGTCTCCTTCTTAGACTTCCCTATACCCAAGGGAAGTCCTAAGTATCTGGTAGAGTTGTGAGCTTGTATCTGTTCCAACATAGAGTAGATTTTGTCCTTGTTGATGAGTATTTCTACTAAATAATGCAGTTGATTTAGCGAAATTCACCTTTTGTCCTGAGAAGCTCTGGTTAGATAGCAGATGCACCAGCCCCCTCAACTGCTCAGTCTCTGCCTTGCAGGACACAAGGGAATCATTTAGAAACAATAAATGTATAAGTGTTGGGCCTCCTCTAGCAATTCTCAATCCTTTGGACCTGTCATTCTCAGTTGCCCCTCAAACCAGAGAAGGAAACACTTCAGAAACAATAAGAAAGATGTATGGAGATATGGAATCTCCCTGCCTTAATCCCCATTAGAGAGACAAATAGCCAGCATGTTGACCATTCACCAAGAAGGAAAAAGTAGAAGAGGTAACACATACCATCACTCATTTAACAAAAAGCTCATCAAAACCCATTACACTCCCCACTCCACTCTGTCATAACCATTAAGCATATCAAAATTAAGAGCCATGAAGCAATTACCTCCTGGTTTGTGCCTATTGAGATAGTGAAAGCACTCCTGAGCAATATTAACATTGTCGATTAATTGTCTGTCTGGAATAAAAGTTGTTTGTGATTGACTAATACAAACATCCAAACATGACCTCAGTCTGTCATCCAGGATTTTTGCTATTATTTTATACACAACCCCACATAAACTAATAGGCCTGAATTGAGATATGGAGATGAGATTAAGGCATTTGAGAATTAAAGCAACCAGAGTGTGATTCCAGTACCCCAATGGCCTTCCTGATTGAAAAATGCTGGTTACTGCATTGCATAGATCCTCCTTCAACACTGGGCAAAAATGTTGAAAGAACAATGTTATCGTTCCATCTTCCCCAGGAGCATTTAAGGGATTCATTTGGAACAAGGCTTTCTGAAACTCCATTTCTCCCACTGAAGCTATGGATCTAGTATTCATTGTTGGAGTGATTACTTGATCAATATTTTGTAGAGCTTCATTCTCTTGAATGGATCCCTCTGAGGTAAAGAGATTTGCATAGAAATTCACCACATGACCTTCTATATCCCTTTGAGACTGATATATTTTGTCCCCCTCCACGAATATGATGATGGCATTTTGTTTCCTCTTTTAGACTATCATGGCATGGAAGAATTTAGTATTTAGGTCTTCCTTTCTGAGCCATAAGACCCTGGATTTCTGTTGCCAGAATAACTCTTCGGTGCAATGAGTAGCATCCAATTCTTTTTTAATTTCCCCATTCTGCACAATTTCTCTCCCCTCCTAACCCCCTCATCTCCTCTAGTTTCAGGGTGAGCTGTCCTATGACTTCTTTGTTGTCTGACTTGAACAATTTTGCCCATTTATAAAGAGCCACTCTGGTTTTCTTTATTTTCTCTTTGAGTCTGAACATAGGTGTTCCCATCTCTTCCTCCTGCCAGACATTCTTTACTACATCATATACTCCTTCTTTTTGAAGCCATCATTTATCAAAAGAGATTCTCCTTTTGCTGTCGTGGGCTTTGCATGTAAGAAATTTATCATGTATATTTATAACTATTAGGCAAAATTGAATAAACCCTACGCATGTAATTCTATGAGTTCATAGAATATGGATCTTTGCATAAATTAAATTGCACATATATAACTTACAAGAATCCAACTATAGTCCTTCCATGTTTTCTTGATCTATAATGTTGATATACAATTATCTTTCTCCAATCTCCAATCCCCTTTCTCCAATCTCCAATGATGAATTTATCTTTTCCTATGAATTGTTTTCTCTCCCGCGTCTCTCATCTATCCATAAGCCCTTGATGTTGAGAACATTATTTCATATGAGATGGGAGAGAGGGCGCATGTAGTATATATAGGAGGAGACCTATAATCCTAATCCTACTAACATTCCTCATGTTCTAACCTAACTTACTGTCCAAATCAAACATCACAAATTAGACTCTTTTATATTAGAGCATTAATATAACATTAAATATATATCCACCTTAATTAAGTATGACTATTAATTCAATTAGGTCCAACTAATTATATGGTCTACAATAATATAATAATATAAAACATTATTACATTCTCCCACATGGACCATATAGTGTCGAAACCCAAAGAACTACTTTAACTGCGCACATTTCATCAAACTTATGATTGAATACATTTATCTATAAGCTTAAAATTGAAAAAGAAATTAACCAAGTCATGGCGGTCACAAGTCTTCGAGTGACATGATCCCTTACAAATCATTTCTAATTCAGCTTTACTTTAATATGGAACAAACTTTTCGTACCATAATTATAAGTCATCCAACTTTTATGTATATACTATAAAATCAAATATCTATAATGATGATATTATGTGTGAAGAGCCAAACATCTTTAATAGAATTCAATAAGTGTCAAAACCATTAATTGAGCAATTCTATTCAGTACCGGTCAGTCCAACAAGGCCCCATTCGTTATTCTCAATTTTCTTTATATGTGTTGCAAAGGCTGTAAGGAATAACCTTTTAATGGATCTGCTTTCATGCAATTAGTACTAAAATGCTCAAATGACACTTTGTTTCTTCACTATTACTTTTACGACCAAGTATTTCAATTTTATGTGATTCACACCCTTTGAATACTTGTCATTCCTTGAAATATTATTGCTACGATACTACGATAATTTCTTAGCGGCTTGGACAAGATGTCGACATTTGTAAGTCCTAAGATAAAGCATCGTAGCCCTAAATTTTGACTTGTGACCTCAAAGCATACCACAAACTCAAACTTGTGGAAGTCACGATGATGGACTTTGTTCCACTTTTCCATAATCTTGCTCCTTTAGACATTATGAGCAAAAATCTGAATCCGAGTATCCAATTATAAATAATTTGGATTTACTTTAAGTTAGCATGTGTTCTTTAATGCTTTGTATATACTTTATGAATTTTTTTGAAGCATTTAAATAATCATTTATGGGTTAATTTTATATTTGTTTAACGTACCAACAACAAATATGTTATCAAACCAAATACAGGTTCATCTCGCTTAAGACTCCTAATCATTTATATCTAAGGAATTTTTTCCACCACTTACCATTCCATTTCACCTTTCGGACA